GTAAAAGAAGAAAGTTCAGATATATATTATAATAATTTAATTTGCATTACGGCTATTATGTAACCCCGAACATAGCTTTACCAACGGTGAAATCTTATTCTTTAAACCAAGCGAGGAAAAGAAACGAAGGACGTTTACCGAGTTCCAGTTGGGATATAAAAAACACCAAACTTTTTATGTATAACAGCTAGTTTGTAAGTTTGTATATGTCTTATTTTTATTTGTAGTAACCAGTACACAGTCATTACTGTCAATAATGCGTCACAACCGACCATTGACTACGCCCATAAACGTTCACGAGGGTAAAGGAGAACGACAAACCGTACCATTCGTCGTTTTCGCTTACATCGCAAGGCTCACCTGTGGGCGCGCAGTGTAAGGGAGAATGACGAATGTCGAATAACTTTGCTACCTTTTAACCTAAAACATTCAAACTTTAGAAACTGCTTTATGAACACCTCAATCAGATATCTGGTGAATTACAGCTTAAAAGGGTGAAAAATAAAAGAGTTATAAAGTGAAAACAGTTTTTGCCTCTCCTGAAAAATTTGCCTCGCTGCCTGCGAAGGACCATTCGTCGTTTTCCCTTACGACGGCAGATTTAAAACAAGGGTCTGCTTTAGGGTGGTGGGCAGCTACAATGTCTAATAAGCAACTTTTACAGAACAGAGCAGACCTATAGGCCCTCTTACTATCACATAATATAGCAATCTATCACTATTAGTCACATAACCAGAGAATGAAAGTCATAACTGGTCAAAAGAAAAGTAATAGATAGAATTAATAGAGCAATGATCTCTATAAAGTCTATAGACAACAGAGATGTTTTATGTTTATGTTTCAGTAGTAAAAATTTATTCAATGCAGAAAAAAAAATCTTCATGTACAAGTTAGTACAACGCATCCCAACGCATCCCAACGCATCTTATGTCTTTGATACAGTGCATGCAAAAGCCTTTCACTTTCAAATGAGCTCATTATTTACCTTTTCGCACAGTAATGATTTCGAAGATGAATATTTTGAAGATGGTGACAATAACATCAGTGATAATTGTGAACCAAGCATTTTAATAAAAATAGCCTGGACAAAAATTATTATAATTTTTTTTTAAATTTAATAGGCCTTATAACATTAATAATAAAAAGATAATAACGATGATGATGAGGAGGAGGAGGAGGATGATGATGATGATGAAGATGATGATGATGATGATGATGATGATGATGATGATGATGATGATGATGATGATGATGATCATATAAAAATTAATAATAAGAGCATTAATAATAATAATAATTTTTATAAACAATAACTGATTCTTCTTCTTCTTCTTCTTCTTCTTCTTCTTCTTCTTCTTCTTCTTCTTCTTCTTCTTCTTCTTCTTCTTCTTCTTCTTCTTCTTTTTCATATTATTTCGACAGTGACACTTCTGTATAACACCCTGTGCTTAAAACGTAGGCTGCTCTTGGCTGTAATGTTCATTTTCTGAAGTCCCAATTCAAGTCCCATATATATAATATGTATCCTGCTCTTTAAAAGCCACGTCAAAAACGTACGTGCTAAAAACGTACTTTTAGCTATAACGTTCACCTTCAGGGATTTTATCAATAAAAAGTCATTAACAATGGGGATTTGTACATTGTGAGAATAAACAAAACTGACAAAAACAATAGATTTGCCGTACTCAGGAATGCAACGTAATCAGCTACAGTATGTGGCCAGTTATTCTTCACCGCTACACCAGGTAGGCCTACAGTTGTTTAACTTTAATATCCTTGTACACAGAGCTCTTGGAGTTTCTCAGCAGTAACAATTCGCCTTTTGAAAAGCATTAGTTGTACCAAAGCCAGGAGAAAGGCTAACATTAGTTGGACAAAGTGTTAAAAAATTCCTATGCTTTGTATTGTTGTAATTGCCTTGATCAATTAGAGAATTTGATATAAAACGGACCATAAAACAATCAGCTTGGAAAAAATGTTTTAAAATTTCTATGCTATGTGAAGTGGGTGATGACCTTGGTCAATTAGAGAATATTTCTAACAACAGATCGTGAAACAATCAGCTGCGGTGCACAGCATGGTTTGAAGTGATGCACAATTCGGATCAAAGGTTTAAATGCAACTCGTCCTGTCGATTTCTTTTGTTTTTTGCAGGAATCAAGTCGAAAGAAAAAAACTAACCCCTACCCTTCCCCCCCAGCCCACTTCCACCCCTCTACAAAGATGTGCCGCCGAGACCTTTCATCAGACCTTTGCTTTCGTCACATTTATCCTTGAACCTGCAACCTCTGTTATTGACACCCCAGGGAACAAGACTATATCGGCCATTTTATGAATGTTTCAGCCAGACTGCTCTCTCTTTTTTTAAATTGTTGATTACCAAATTGCTGGACAACTCTGGCTTATCCTTGAACCTGACAGGTGTTATCTCTCTAAAAGGCTTACATGTCACAGTCATGTATCATCATCATGATCTCCATCCCCATTACGATCATAAATTCCTTTTATGCTTTATCAGCTGGATTTGGATGAAAGAATAACATTGAAACAAAACAACAAAATAAAAAAAAAACCTAATCAGTGAAATGAACATGATTAGACCATCAAACCCATGGGTGCCGTTCCCCCCCCCCCCCCCCCCCCCAACCCTTCCCTGTGATTCACAAAAAGAATAGATACACATGTATTTTTCAGTAACACGCCTGTTGCCACCACTTACATAGCACTCTTTCTCGATACCATCAGGTGCACAAGGCAGATATTTATTACTATAATTAAAACTACAATTTTGATTAAGATTATGATTTCATCATTATAATTAATACTGTTATTACGATTATTACTATTACGATTATTATTATTATTATTATTATTATTACTACTTAAGCTATTACAGCACTTCTTTACAAGTTCCCTTTTTTCTATGATTCAGATGTTGGATTATATTCACAAGGGTATAAAGCACTTCTCAATTTCCTGATTCTAGACTTCCTACTCTTCTTCATCATTTGCACACAGAAAGCATTCAAAACTGGCATCTAAAGTTAACGTCTTTTTAAAATAAAAATCAGGATTCACATTTTGTAACCCTTTGCAACATAAACAGGAAGAGGAGAAAAAAGAGGAAACATCAACCAAAAAACCCAACCTTAACAAACTAAAATTACAGCAGGCAGAAAAGAAAACATGAGAAAAAAAGTTCAGGAGAAGCAGAAAGAAGGAGAAAAACAAAAGAAGGAGGAAAGGATAGAGATATTGGAAAGACGGAAGAGAAATAAAAGATGCATTTATATAGCAGAAATGCTGAACATTTCAACAGTTTCACGACAAAATGTAACAAACACCATTTTCAAAGTTTGGCCGAAATTGTTCGTGTTGTATCTAAAAAGGTGAGACACATACCAGAGTCAACTTTTTTTTTCACAAAAGGCTATATTTCCTCTTTGTAGAACAACAAATAGTTATGCAGTTTTTGCAAAACGCAATAAAAGCGGGAGACCTTTCTTGACAAATCGCAACATGACCTCTGCGTGCCAATCAAGTTCTTATCTCGAGTCATGAGTCTTTGCTTGTGGTCGACTACAGTTTGTCGGTGGATCCTTCCCTTCTTTATAGTATTAAAGTGCATATGCTGTGTTTTGTCAAAAATGTCTGGAGATCTCATCAATTTAAAGGAAAAGAATCCAACAAAGATTTTGTCGGTTAGTGAAAATTAACTAAGCCTTACATTATGTTTACTCTAAAATCAAAGTTGCTCAAGATCATTTAGTAAATGGGTGTAGACAGAAATCTTCATTTTTCTCAAAACCAGAAAACTGGATACGTCGTGTTTTGACGTGAAACTGTTCATGTGACAGTGTTGATAAAAGCAAAATGGTGTTGGAAGGCCAGCATAAAGCGTGCAGCTGAAAAGTAGCAAGAGAGAAAATGAAGAGTTCCCAGGATAGTTTAAGAATGTGACCTAATTGAGGGAAGTAATTATGTAAACCAAAATGCTGGAAAATGAAGAGTCCATTTGACACTCAACAAATTGAATGGAAAACAAAATTTAGCATCTCGTATACCGGCTTTACTAAAACACCATGGTTTTGTCCCAGGTCACGGTTAGAAAGCATGGGCGCACTCAACAGGGAAGAGGCCAGCTGCTAGGAATTCTGGTCCTTTCAAATTTCAATGTAACATCCAAGCCAATCCCAATTTATAACATTCTTTACTAGGATTGAAACCACAGATGTGTGCTCATATGACCTTACACAGTTGCAAGAGCCATAAAACTTATACCAAACATTACCAAAACCGATCGCGACCTCTGTGTTTTCTTGTTGTACCTCCATTTTTAATAACAGTGAAAACAGTTCATAATAAAGAGTGAGCATAAGAAAAAGTCAAATTTTCACTGTTTAAAAAAATGGAGATACGACAAGATATAGCACTGGGGTCGTGAGATGTGCAAAAACCATTTGGTCCATTAAGACCGCTCTCAATAAAAGAACATTATTACTATCAATCGTCAGCAGCACAATCACAAAACTAAATAATAATAATCATCATAGTAATAATAATAATAATAATAATAATAATAATAATAGTAATAATAATAATAATAATAATAATAATAAATAAATAAATAATTATAACAATAACAAAAATAATAACAAGAAAAATAATAATAATACGGTAGTCTCCGCCTAAGATCCTGGTGCTCGGGAGCAAGGAAAATGTGGGATCTTAGGTGAACCGGGACCTTACCCGAATGGCCAGGGGGAAGAATTTACAGTAACTCATGGTCAGGCCCATAATCTGTAGGCCTACAATGATCTTCCATTACTTTAAAATGAACTGACGTGACTCCAGGGCACTTAAAGTTCTTTTCAGAAGTCGGTTTTTCACTTTTTTTTTGTTTGAGGGCAGAGGGTGGGTTGTTTTTTTTAAATACTGTGTCAGGTGGGAACCAGTTGGCTTCAAGCAATGCCCCCCCCCCCCCTCCAACCAAAAATGTATTACTTTCCACCTCTAACGAAGTTCCCCGCCCATGTCATGATGCATCATGAATCGTTGTGCTGTGACCACAACGACCAATTTTTAAAAAAAATGAAAGGCAGGTTCACTGAGAGCAGATGACCCCATTATGCAGAGGGGATCGGCCAGTCCACGAGTATGGGCACCAGTCTATCTAGGAAGTTAAAGTGCAAAACTGAAAGACGAGAGCGATGGTCAGGAAAACGTAAGCATCCACGAGTTCACAGTTTAATGGAATGCTGTCTCACGCTTGCTTGTAGGCCCTCCCCACCTGGTGTGTGATGTATGATCAGGCAGACAGCTCAGGTGATCAGGGAAAGCAAGACATCGATGAGTTCACTCCTTGGTGCGATCCGTTTGGGGCAAACATTGTAACTGCTTATCGCGATTTACAACAAAGGTGTGATAGCATTAATGAGAGTGAATGATCCGAGACGAGACGGACTGTACAATGATCGCACATTTTCGCTACTTGGCTGGTGAGCTGAGCGCGCCCAGGTTTCTTTTTTTTTTCTTAATTAAAAAAAGGAAAAAATAACCAAATTATGACCTGAAAAGCGGGGCCTTAGTCGAATGTAGCTCCTTCAGAGCGGGATCTTAGTGGTGACTATTATATAGTAAAAGTTTTGTTTTTCCAAAACAGCAAGATCTTAGGCGAACCGGGACCGGGACTATAAGAGGTGGGATCATAGGCGGAGACTACTGTAATAATAATAATAATAATAATAATAATAATAATAATAATAATAATAATAATAATAATAATAGTAATAATAGGCCTAATAATAAATTAATATAATGTTACTGAAGTAACAAGAACCAGAGCACTAATTAAGTAAAGCAACAGTAATGTCCACATCGTCATTGTTGCTACCATGTGAAGGCCTTCAATGAAAGCATAGAAAAAAATAACGTGAAAATTATATAATCAATGATGCAGGGAATATGAATGTGGATTAATGCTGAATACAGCAAATGCAAATATCATATAATGTAATGGGTGAGCTGCAAGGAAAAATTTTGAAAAACACAACGGGGTGTTGACCACTTAAGAAAGAGCATCATTCCCTTCAAATTTCTTGATCCCATTTTTTACTATTCCCTTTGTCTTTGGTAAATCTCTTTGCAGAGACACACTACCACAAGAGCTGTTGCTTTTCCCTGCATTGTGTGTTGTTAAACGATTTCCTGTGATTGCCCCATCCACATGTTGTTTAACTACCAATTCATCAGGGTTTGCATTTCTGCTCTGGCCTGTTGTCTTCACCTTTCCATCCATAACAGAAGCCAGAGCTTTTTCAGAGTCAGTTGAATTTTTGTCCTTGCTGGTGAGCATTGTCGTAGTTGCTTGAGTTTGAGAAGCACCTTTGATGGCACTGGTGGTTTTCTTGTTAAGCTTTCCAGCTGCTGGTGTCCCCAGGTTGACTGGCTCATATGCCGAACTGTCACAAGTCTCGTAGATAACACTGTCCTCTTCTCCTCCTACTACTGCAGCTGGCGGAGGAGGGGGTGCACTGTCTTTAACGCGAGGGCCTTTTCTGTCACTGGAATTTTTAAATCGAGATTTGGGCGAGCCTTGGGGTGAAGCACTACCAGTCTTTCTGTCTTTATCAGACTGCTTACTATTTCTATCACCTTTCAAGCGATCCAGCATGCCGCGTCTAGGCCTTTTAATCTCAATTTCATTTGAGTATTCGGTAGATGAAGATGGTTTGCCATTATTACTAATGGTAACATTTGCATAGTGTCGTTTGGACTTATCTGTGCTTTTAACTTTTCGAGGTGTTCGTACATCAATGACTTCAATGTGTCGCGGTAGCGTAGCACTACCCTCATGACTTTGAATTGAGGCAGATTTTGAAACATTGCCTGTCTCACGTTGGCTGGACCAGGGTCCTTTTCTGAGGGGAGCAAATTGTTCAACTTCAGCATAGGCAGGGGAGGCAGGCTGTTCACCTCTCTGGCTTATGGGAAGTGCATCAGCCACCTGAATAGAAAAATAAAAAGAACCTAAAGGGCTTGAAGTTGAAGGAAAAACAAGTCATACTTGAAATCCCATAAAGTTAAAGGATATTTTTTTTTTTTATAATTAGTAGTCAAAGTTCATTACTCATTTTGTCACCAATAGATGTTATTTTAGAAAGAAAATCTTGAGAACAAGAGAACGTTTAGCTTCCCCCTCCTCCCCAACAATGCTCTACACAATGTTCAGGTTAGGAACAGAGCAAAAAAAGATTGGTCAGGATTTTTGTGAGTTTCTTTTTCTTTTTTTTTTAATTTGTCGATAGTACGTTCAATCAAGGAGTCTATAATCCTACAATTATTTTGCTCAGGCTTAGTACCAAAATATTATTGTATTTGTATTAACTCTTTAACCACATCTGGACGATGGCAGCGTCCGGTCGCCGAGGTCCGTAACCATGGCTGGACGGTACCACTGTCCGAAGTGAAGTTATTATTGTATTATGGTACGGGACAAATATTTTTAAAAACGAGCTAACAAGCCTTTAGTTTGACCCAGAAGTCAAAGATAAATGAATTCTATGTCTGGGTAATGCTTTAATGATCAGTTTGACAAGAAACAAACAGTTTTAAAAACGTAATATTTCGGGTCGTATTTCCACAAACACGAGAGAATTAAGCGGAAACGTGACTTTAAATTGCACTGTTAAAGAGTTAAGGAATAATCTCCCCTCAACAGTGAATCCTACTTAATAACGTTATAGAGAGTCACACCTAAAGAAGCTATAAGAGCAGTCAAGAGTGAAATAAAGGGGATGACAAAGACCTGGAATCAGATTGCGAACAACCCACTGACCGACCGACAGACTGACTGACTGTCTGACAAGGATAATCATTCTGATAACTACTGTTTGAACTAAAAGAAAGAACTGGGATACTCTCAAAGACTTACTTCAAAGTATCCATCTGCCAGGTGTGGCCGTGGTTTGTCATCATTTTCTGCCTCGAGGGAGGCGATATACTCATAATGTGCTTGTAGGGCAGGGCTTGGCTCGCTGTACACATTCTCAGAAGAAGGAGCTCGTAACAGGCGGCATCTGTTCAAAGTAAGAGAAGACAATTTTAGTTTCACTTCACACATACATTATAATAATTTTTGTTGGAGGTGGGGAGAATTGAGTCGGGAAAGGGAGGAGGGGAGGAGTGTGTGTGTGTGTGTGTGT